GGAGACAGGGCGAGCTTTCGCAGCGGCCGGTCACTGGGGGGTTCTGGGCGGCTGCCTGCGCTCGGGCGCTCGGGACCAGTGGGCCGCCTCCGCGTCCTCCGCGGGGCGGGCGCAGCGCACCCCCACGTGGTGCGCTGTGCTCTCCGCGGAGAGGTGGCTGCGGGCGCAGATGCGGTACCTCCAGCAGTAGGACTTGTGGCACATGAAGGAGCCGCCCTTCTTGACCTTCTCGAACTGCCCGGACCCGTCCCTGCTCATGTAGCCCATCTCCACGACCTGGTCGAGCTCGTCGACTGACGGTCCGAGAGGGTCGACGAAGCCAGTGGCCTGGGTCTCCTCGGTCAGGAAGTGCACCGGTGTGAACCAATCACCGACCCATTCCCACACATTGCCGACCATGTTGTACAATCCCCAGTCGTTTTGTGGGCCGTATGCGTCCACGGGGGCAGTTTTAATCCACTTGTCCTTTGCCGTATTTGACGTTGGGAAAGTGCCCTGCCATATGTTCATCCGGTGCTTCTTTGGATCGCCATATGTGAGGTTCCCCCAAGGGTACAAATTCGGACTGCTCGAGCTTCCGTGCGCCGCGTACTCCCACTGCGCCTCAGATGGCAGCGACGCGTTTCGCCATCGGCAATAGGCGGTGGCATCGTTCCAAGAAATATGCACGACTGGATGGTTCCACCTATCACCGAAACGGCTGCGCTCCCCATCCAGACCACTGTCTAAACCCTCAGGCGTCCTCCACGTAGCATTCTTCACGGGAAGCCACCAAGGGACAGCGGCGACTTTGACATCAACCGTGCGCGATACGGCTTCTGAAAGATATAGCTCAGCTACAAAGGAATCCCCGAACAACTCTGCCTCGGTCACATGGCCCGTCTCCTCCACGAACTCTTGAAACTTCCTGTTGCTGACCTCGAACCGATCCAGCCGGAAGCCCGACATCCTCACTTGTCGCAGCGGGCCCTCCCCGTCCTGCCTGAAGTGGACTCGCTCCTTCTCGATGCCCATCGGGAAGCGTCCCGCGGGGATGTCCACCATGTCCTGGATTAGACGCCTCCTAGATGGGGTCGGTGTGGATGTGGTCGGAGGATCGCGCCGCATCGCCGATACGTCGGCGATGCATCGGCGATGCATCGGCGATGCATCGGCGATGCACTGGCGATGCATCGGTGACGTCGGCGATGCATGGGCAACGTCGGCATGGAAAACAGTGGGCTCCACATCGAGCCGAATCGCCGATGCATCGCCGATGCATCGGAGATGCGGCGCGATCCTCCGACCCCATCTACTCTGACTCCATCTAGGATTAAGTCGGGCCTGTCCCTCTACAGGAGGGAGATTCGACCATATTAACAATATAATTGTGGGACGATTGTTCGACTAGTTTCGACTACGTGTGACTACGTTTGAACATGTGATGACTCTGTCTTCTATTCCTTCCGAAAAATCCGCTCGTAGGGAATATACGCCCGACCTAAATCGAGGAGGCCCAGCTGGATGTAGAGCGCAAGTGCCAAGTGCGAGCGAAGACGTGCGTGCATGTGCGGCCTCAGCGGCCCCGCGGGCACGATGTGAACCGCGTTGCCAAGGCAGGTCAGCGAAAACCGGCCGCGTCTGTTCACGCTTGATAAATCTATACTTGGATTTATCTTTGGTTATGTATATATATACACATGTACATACATATATATATATATGTATATATATATGTAGAACTTCTGCCAGGAAGAGACGTTTCCAGACGAGCGGCTCTGATGTGCCAATGGGGGAGAGTGAGAGAGAGATGATGGTCAATTCCAATGATACTCCCGGTAGCTGCTCCCTGGACGTAAAATTATCGAAGTAGCTGCTTCCTGTCCACGACCTGTACTCCAGGGTGGAAAAAAAGTATGCAGAAGTGGAAAGAAGAGGTACGGGGGAGGAAGCAGGAAGAGAGGATGAGAGAAGAGGAGGAGGAGAGAGCAGGCGGGAGGAGGAGGTGACAGGCTGGAGACCGCGATGCCCTGGTCAAAACAAAACCCAACGGTTGGTTGGGAACAAACTGCTCAGGATGAAAAACTGGTCCCAGAGGAAGGGTCGGGACTTCCACGGAGCCCGAGTTGAAAAAAAACAGGACATCACCTGTCTAGGCGCCTCTGGTTACCATAGTGGTTGTGAGCATAATGGCGCCATGAGTGCAGGCTGGCCAGGATCGAGGATCCATTCCAAGGCTTGCCCCCTGAGTGCTCACAGCATGACTCGTCGTTCACCGACGCCCAAATCAGCCGACCCTGTCGGCGTGTGCGCGGGTCTTTCTATTCGAAGCTCTCCTGCCCCTGTGGCCACCCTGGGGCTACGTCCTCATGGCCTCTCTCCTTTTTGCCATGCGCCCACCTGGCGCTCTCCAAGCTCGCCAGCCCCAGGTGTGCATCCATCCGGGTCGCAAACGAAACGACGGGAGGCCCCTTCTGCCTGATCCCTTCCCCGCCGGGTGGGGTGTCCCCGGGGGGGGGCAAGAAACAGCCTTCGCATACCACCGGATCTGGCGAAGGCCTCCGAGCCAACCGAAGACGCCCCACAAACGCCCGAGTACGCGCGCAAAGTCCCGAAGTCCCTCCGAAGTCCGCCGGAGGCCCCCCGAAGACCCCCCGGAGGCCCTCCGAAGACACCCCGGGAAGACCCCCCCGGGAGGACCCCCCCGAAGGCCCTGCGAGACGAGCGTCCGTGTTCTGCTCCGCAGCGGCCGCGGACAGGCCCTCGGGCGCCGGCGCAGGCCCGTCCGCCGCGCCACTGCCGCGGCCGTGGCCGTCGGGCCATCCCGGACACGGGCACGCCATCCCGGCGCGGGGGGACCTCCTCCTCCTCCTCCCTCCTCCTCCTCCCTCCTCCTCCTCCCTCCTCCTCCTCCTCTTCCTCCTTCCTCCTTCTCATCCTCTTCCTCGTCCACTCCTCCTCCTCCTCCTCTTCTCCTCGCTCCTCCTCATCATCATCATCATCATCCTCTCCACTCCTCCCGCTCCTCCTCCTCCTCCTCCGCCCCTCCTCTCCTCTTCCTCCTCCGTCTCCTCCTCCTCCTCACCTCCTCCTCCTGCCGTCCCGCTCCTCCTCCTCCTCCTCCTCCCTCCTCCTCCTCCTCCTCCTCCTCCTCCTCCTCCTCCTCCTCCTCCTCCTCCTTGGGCGGTCGGAGATGAACAGGCCCTGAGACGAAGCCAGGACGAGGAGGGTCGGTTGCGAGCGAGGGGGGGAAGCGAGAAGGAGAAGACCTTCCCAGAAGGCTCGGAAGTCCCATGGCCATCTGGAAAGTTCATTAAGCCTTCCCAGAAGACACAACATAAACCTTTCAGAAGGCGCGAGGGCTCCTCTGAAAAGTCCCGCCGCCTCATTTCCCCCCCTCGCTCGCCGCCGAGAGGACAAATACGGATGAGGGTACATCGGAAATCTTCGGGATCCGGCCGCTCTGGAGGATGCTTGGGGCGCCGCGGCCCTCTGAGAGAGTTCCAGAACGCTCTGAGAGCGTTCCGGGACGGGAGGAGGAGGAGGAGGAGGAGGAGGAGGAGG